TCTCTGAGTAGCAGCATTTAAATGGTCCCTGTCAGCCCTGTCCTCTGACTTCATTCCTGATTCTAAACTCCTCCCAGCAAGCTTCCCTTGCAGCATGAGAAAGGCTCAGGTGTCAGGAAGAAACTAGTCACAACCATAGCTGTTTGCAGGCCTGTGTCTGTAATGCACCAAAATGACAGTGGGGGAGGGGGCAGGGGTGGGTACCAGGCTGTGGATTGAGTTACCAGGGAAATGCATAAATAAGGATGATGTTGTGAGGAATGATTGTAAAGCCCAGCCTTTATGCCTCTCGAGCCTTTTCTCCACTGTGCAGAATCTACTCAGAAGGTGTACATTTTCCCAGTTTGTACAACGGTTAAAAAAAAATTTAAGGTGGGAATTCTTGGAAAAGGCGTTGACTCTTGAAGGTAATCTTTCTTTTTGCCTTTAAAGATTCTGGGACAACACTGCTTTGATCCTCAGGGTGATCGGGGAGAGAGGTAGAGAAGGTCCTTGCATGAACCTGCCCCACGCTAGGCCCCTTGGCTCTACCAGGTGAGGGCTGCTCTCATCTGTCTGTCACACACCTGGGCTCTAGCTATACCCTCTTCTTTCTCCTGGTGTCCATGTGAATCAAAGTTTCAGAGACACTGTTTCTCCTGCAGATTCCAAAGAAAGGTGAGATTGTTTGTTTTTGGTTTTTGAACTTTTATTTGAGGTTCAGGGATACATGTGCAGGGAAACTCGTGTCATGGTGGTTTGTGGTACAGATTATTTCATCATCCAGGTACTAAGCCTAGTACCCAACAGTTTTGTTTTTTGCTCCTGTCCCACCTTTCACCCTCCACCCTCAAGTAGGCCCCAGTGTGTGTTGTTCCCCTCTTGGTGTCCATGAGCCTCATCATTTAGCTCACACTTCTAATGAGAACATGCAGTATTTGGTTTTGTGTTTCCACATTAGTTTGCTAAGGATAATGGCCTCCGGCTCCATCTATGTTTCTGCAAAAGACATAATCTCATTCTTTTTGAGGCTGCATAGAATTCTATGGTGTATATGCACCACATTTTCTCTATGCAGTCTGTCTTTTATGGGCATTTAGGTTGAATCTGTGTCTTTGCTATTGTGAATAATGTAATAATCATTCACATGCACATGTTTTTATGATAGAATAATGTATATTCTTTTGGGTATATACCCAGTGACGGGATATCTGCATTGAGTGGTAGTTCTGTTTTAGCTGTTTGAGGAATCATCACGTTGCTTTTCACAATGTGATGATTCCTCAAATTTACACTGCCACCAACAATGTGTGAGTGTTCCCTTTTCTTTACAAGCTCGCCAGCATGTTATTTTTTGACTTTTGAATATTAGCCATTCTGACTGGTGAGAGATGGTATATCTCATTGTGGTTTTGATTTGCATTTTTTTAACGTTCAGGGATGTTGAGCTTCTTTTCAAATGCTTTTTGGCCGCATGTATGTCTTCTTTTGAAAAGTGTCTGTTCTGGTCCTTTGTCTACTTTTTTTTTTTTTTTTTTTTTGAGTCAAGGTCTTACTCTGACACCCAGGCTGAATGCAGTCGTGCAATCTCAGCTCACTGCAACCTCTGTCTCACTCAGGCAATCCCCCTGCTCAGCCTCCTGAGTAGCGGGGATGACAGGTGCGTGCAACAACACCCGACCAATTTTTCTATTTTTCGTAGACGCAGGGTTTTACCATATTGCCCAGGCTGGTCTTGACCTTCTGGGCTCAAGCAGTCCGCCTCCCTCAGCCATCCAAAGTGCTGGAATTACAGGCAGGGCCCATCATCCCCACCCTTGGCCCCCCTCTTTTTTTTTTTTTTTTTTATGGGGTTGCGTTTTCTTTTCTTGTAAAGTTGTTAAAGTTCCTTATAGATGCTAGGTATTAGACCTTTTCAGATACATAATTTGCAAATAATTTCTGCCATTCTGTAGGTTCCCTGTTGACACTGTTGATAGTTTCTGTTGCTGTGCAGAAGGCCTTTAGTTTAAATAGATCCATTTGTCAGTGTTTGCTTTTCTTGTGATTGCTTTTGGCATCTTCGTTATGAACCTTTTGTCCATTCCTATATTCAGAATGGTATTGCCTAGGTAGTCTTCCAGGGTTTCTATAGTTTGGGGTTTTACATTTAAGTTTTTACCCATCTTTAGTTGATTTTTCTACGTAAAGCCAGGAAGGGGTTCAAGTTCAATCATTTGCATATGGCTAGCCAGCTATCCTGGAACCATTTCTTGAATAGGAAGTCATTTTTCCATTGCTTGTTTGGTTAGCTTTGTTGAAGATCAGAGGGTTGTAGATATGCAACCTTATTTCTGGGCTCTCTATTTTGCTCTACTGGTCTATGTGTCTGTTCTTGTACATGAACCATGCTGTTTGGTTACTGTGGCCCTGTAGTACAGCTTGAAGTTGAGTAATGTGATGCTTGCAGCTTTGTTCTTTCTGCTTACAATTGTCTTGGTTATTAAATTCATTTTTGATTCCATATGCATTTGAAAATGGTTTTTTCTAATTCTGTGAAGGATGTCATTGGTAGTTCAATAGGAATAGCATTGAATCTGTACATTTCTTTGGGCATTATGGCTGTTTTAATGGTAATGATATTTGCTATCCATGAGCATGGGATGTTTTTCCATTTGTTTAGATAATCACTGATTTTTTAAGCAATGTTTTGTAATTCTCATTGTAACAAACTTTCACCTCCCTGGCTAACTGGATTTCTAGGTATTTTATTCTTTTTATGGAAATTATGAATGGAATTCCATTCCTGATTTGGCCCTATGCTTCACTGTCGTTGGCATATATGAGTTCTAGTAATATTTGCACATTGATTTTCTATCCTGAAATTTTGCTAAAATTATTTACCAGCTTAAGGATTGTTGGGGCAGAGACTGTGAGGTTTTCTAGATATAGAATCATGTCTGCAAACAGGGATAGTTTGAACTCTCTTTTATTATTTTTTTTTATTTTTTATTATACTTTAAGTTCTGGGGTACATGTGCAGATCGTGCAGTATTGTCACATAGGTATACACATGCCATGGTGGTTTGCTGCCTCCATCCCCCCATCACCCACATTAGGTATTTCTCCTAATGTTATCCCTCCCCAACTTCCCCACCCCCTGCTATCACTCCCCTAGTCCCCAACCCCCCACAGACCCATTAGACAAAGGGCTAATATCCAGAATGTACAAACAATTTTTATTATGCTTTAAGTTCTGGGGCACATGTTCAGATCTTGCAGGATTGTCATGTGTTCTCATTGTTCAACACCCACTTATGAGTAAGAACATGCAGTGTTTGGTTTTCTGTTCTTGTGTCAGTTTGCTGAGAATGATGGTTTCCAGATTCATCCATATCCCTGCAAAGAACATGAACTCATCCTTTTTTATGGCTGCATAGTGTTTTATGGTGTATATGTGCCACATTTTCTTTATCCAGTCCATTCTTGATGGGCATTTGGGTTGGTTCCAAGTCTTTGCTATTGTAAACAGCGCCACAGTGAACATAGGTGTGCATGTGTCTTTATAATAGAATGATTTATAATCCTTTGGGTATAAACCCAATAATGGGATTGCTGGGTCAAATGGTATTTCTATTTCTAGGTCCTTGAGGAATCACCACACTGTCTTCCACAATGGTTGTACTAATTTACACTCCCAACAACAGTGTAAAAGTGTTCCTATTTCTCCACATCCTCTCCAGCATCTGTTATCTCCAGATTTTTTAGAGATCACCATTCTAACTGGTGTGAGATGGTATCTCAATGTGGTTTTGATTTGCATTTCTCCAATGACCAGTGATAATGAGCATTTTCTCATGTTTATTGGCCACATAAATGTCTTCTTTTGAAAAGTGCCTGTTCATATCCTTTGCCCACTTTTTGGTGGGTTGTTTATTTCTTGTAAATTTGTTTGAGTTCTTTGTAGATTCTGGATATTAACCCTTTGTCAGATGGTAGCTTGCAGACATTTTTTAATTGCTGGTTCACTCTAATGATTGTTTCTTTTGCTATGCAGAAACTCTTAATAGATCCCCTTTGTCTATTTTGGCTTTTGTTGCCATTGCTTTTGATGTTTCGGTGATGAAGTCCTTGCCTATGCTTATGTCCTAAATGGTATTGCCTAGGTTTTCTTCTAGGGTTTTTATGGTGTTAGGTCTTATATTTAAATATTTAATCCATCTGGAGTTAATTTTTGTATAAGGTGTAAGGAATGGGTCCACTTTCAGCTGTCTGCACATGGTTAGCCAGTTTTCCCAATGCCGTTTATTAAACAGGGAATCCTTTCCCCATTGCTTGTTTTTGTCAGGTTTGTCAAAGATCAGATGGCTGTAGGTGTGTGGCATTACTTCAGAGGCCTCTGTCCTGTTCCATTGGTCTATATCTCTGTTTTGATACCAGTATCATGCTGTTTTGATTACTGTAGCCTTATAGTATAGTTTGAAGTCAGGTAGTGTGATGCTTTGTTCTTTTTACTTTGTTCATTTTACTTAGGATTGTCTTGGCTATGCAGGCTCATTTTTGGTTCCATATGAAGTATAAAGTGGTTTTTTCCAGTTCTGTGAAGAAGGTCAATGGCAGTTTGATGGGGATAGCATTGAATCTATAAATTACTTTGGGCAGTATGGCCATTTCACAATATTGATTCTTTCTAATCATGAGCATGGAATATTTTTCCATCTGCTTGTGTCCTTTCTTATTTCCTTGAGCAGTGGTTTATAGTTCTTCTTGAAGAGGTCCTTCACATCCTTTGCTAGTTGTATTCCTGGGTCGTTTATTCTTTTTGTAGCAATTGTGAATGGGAGTTCGCTGTTGATTTGGCTCTCTGTTTGTCTGTTATTGGTATATAGGAATGCTTGTGATTTTTGCACATTGATTCTGTATCCTGGGACTTTGCTGAAGTTGCTTATCATCTTAAGGAGATTTGGGGCTGAGATGATGGGGTCTTCTATCTATACAATCATGTCATCTGCAAATAGAGACAATTTGACTTTCTCTTTTCCTAATTGAATACCAAATGGTAAAGACCATTGACACAATGAAGAAACTGTGTCAACTAATGGGCAAAACAACCAGCTAGTGGAGCATCTCAGATGGAGGGGGTTGGTCCAGAATTCTCCCCAAAGGAAACACTCCAGAAAGAAAGTTTATTCTTAGGAGAGGACTGGGGCATCGGTAGGGGTCTTCTTCTAAGATCAAAGGCTAGGCTCCTGCAAGGGGAGGGAAGGCAGTGGGGGCACTTCAGAGGATGGAAATGGAGGTTTCCTAACTTTGTGTCTGTGGGTGGAAATGAATCAGTTACAGGAAAGACCATCAGTGAGAGCCAGTATTAAATGCCCTGTTGAAAGGGTTTCTTGCATGCATCTCTGACCAAGATTTCTACTCTACAAAGTACTGACTGCCATGTCCACTGTAGGAGCCTACAGCTCATCTCTGTGAAACAACTTTTCTCTGTCTCAGTCTGCAGGGAGGATGGGCAAGGGCGTGATCATCTGTGAGCACTCTTTAAATGAACAAACCAGATTTCTACATCTGTGCTCTACCTTTCCAGAAATAATATTATATATCTTTTGTTCCCGAACTGAGGGGAAACGGCATATAAGTATCTTCTCAGGTGGTTTTCTTCTTGTCTTTTTTCCTGGTTAAGTGGAGGGACATGTGAGGTTTAGGGTTCAGGTGGGAAAATGGGATCCCTGAAGTGTTCCCTCCCCTCTGTTTTCAGTGTAGAGAGTGAGGCTCCTATTCAGCCCTGCTCAACTGAGACACAGTCACATTCACCCTGTTATGGCTGAGTTATTCAAGCCTCCAATCCCATTGCTTATCCCCGTGTGGCTGAAAACAGCTGCCTGACATTTCAGTGCAGTTACTCATCTGAAATTGGGTAGGGATTTTGGTTCAGAGTGCCTGCCATAAACTCCATGCTATCGACGAGTGTTATTCCTAATGTGTTCTCAGATCTTCCAGTGGCCTTGGCACTCATTCTTTGTGCCCCAGGAAAATTTATCCTCTTTGATTCCTCCCACCACCCATGAAGTCCTTCAAGGCCTTTTGGGGATGACCACTACCTGTTTTACCGCTGAAAGCAAGAACGAAATTTTGTGACATTTGGAAAAGTTTTAATGAGTAAAGTGTAAGGGTTGAAGTGAGGAGGGATCATGCTGTCAACTGGCTCTGGGAATCCCGTGATCAGTTAGAAACAGGGATTCTTGGACAACAGGAAGTCTGATTATGACCCTCAATCGCAGACACACACTGAAGAAAGGGAGACATCTCTACACACTCGCATCAACCCCCAAGCACCTAAGACTACAGACACACACCACCATGCCTGGCAGATTTTAAATTTTGGAAAGTTAGAGTCTCGCTGCATTTCCTTGGCGGGTCTCCAACTCCTGGCCTCAAGCGATCCTCCCCACTTGGCCTCCCAAAGTGCTGCAGTTACAGGCCTCAGCAAACTTGATGAATGTCCATTGGAAGCTCTGCCTGAATGGAAATTAAACGTGTTACTTTCTTGTTTTGGGTGAATCTGTCTCTGAACCCAAGTCTCCCAATGTCCTTCCCTAGCAAATCAGGATCTGCTCATCACCCAGTCACACAATAGGAAGGACTGCTGGAGTGGGAGTCAGGGAAGTTGAGCCTGGGAGGCAGGAGCCAGTGCCTTCTGTGTGGACCCTGCCTGAGGAACCATGGGCCCCATAGCCTGCTTTCTCTTTCCCACGTTGCTTGGTAAGAGGCCCCTGAGGATTCATGCATTCTGTTCTTATGAATGCTCAGAAACGAGTCCTTAATAACTTATGGTCCCCAAGATCCCCAACAGTTCTGCCACCCTGGATGCACATTGACACACATGGGAAGTTGCACAGCTGCAACATCAGAGATGTTTCTGTGTGAGGAGGAACCTTCTCATGAACAGAAGGCCAATGCATGTTCCCAGTTCAATACTTGGTCACATCTCAGCACACACACACACCCCAGTCACACAGAGCCATGCCACTCACTGAGTCATGCACGCCTGCTCTCTGTACATATAAAGATGCCCATGCACTGGTCTAGCTGGGCTCACATAGACACTCACATCACAGTCATGAAAACGAAGCACAGTCACCCCCTTAAACTCACACACCCGTCCACCTCCTACCTGAAGTCACATCATTTCAGCAGAGTTCACTCTTACCAGACACTGTCACACACTCACGGAAGGTTACACTAATCCAGGATCCACCCATCACACCCTACAGGCATCTCAGATGCCATTTCCCCAAGGTCTCTCTTCCATACACCCACAACTCTCAGTAAAGCATTCACTGGAAAAGCTCATATTTTCATCTCATGAAATCTCCCTCTTTCTCTTCTTTGTGTAACTTAAGATATGGAAGGCTCTGCCTTTCAACTCATGGATGTCTGCGACAGCTCCATCTGGCCAGCTCTTCTGAATTGTTTCCAGGCTTCTGTGTAAATCTCTGAGTTGCAGAATTTAAATGGTCCCTGTCAGCCGTGCCCTCTGGCTTCATTCCTGATTAAAAGCCCTTCCCAGCAATGTCGTCCCACAGAGCGAGAGGGGGTGGGGTGTCAGAAACAGACTCAGTCACAACCATACCTGTTTGGAGGCCTGTGCCTGTGATGCAACAGAAATGACAGTGAGGGAGGTACTGGGGGAGGACGGGGTCACCAGGGAAATGCACACATAAAGACGATAGAGTGAGGATGAGGGGTGTCAATTCCAGCCTCCATGCTTCTCATGAAGCCTTTTCTCCACTGCTCAGAATCTACCAGGAAGGTGTGCATTTTCCTAACCAGTACAGTGGTCAAAAGCTGGAGATCCTGGGGGCAAGGCACTTGGCCTTGAAAGAAAATCCTCTTCTTTCTCCTCCAGCAAGTCATGGGAGAACATAGATCTGGATCCTCAGCAGGGCCTGGGGAGAGAAGTATAGAAAACACTTGTGTCTTCATTTTATTTTATTTTGTTTTGTACTTTAAGTTCTGGGGCACGTGCAGAATGTGCAAGTTTGTTACATAGGTATATACGTGCCACGGTGGTTTACTGCGTCCATCACCCCATCATCTACATTAGGTATTTCTCCTAATGTTATCTCTCCCCAATCCCCCCACCCCCTGCTATTCCTCCCCTAGCTTCCCCCCACCCCGACAGGCCCCAGTGTGTAATGTTCCCCTCCCTGTGTCCATGTGTTCGTATTGTTCAACACCCACTTATCGGTGAGAACATGTAGTCTGCTTAATGCACTGTCTTAATTTTTTTTGCTTTTGTTTCTTTTATCTTTTTGTATACTTTAAGTTCTGGGGTACATGTGCAGAACTTGCAGGATTGTTATATAGGGTATACACATGCCACGGTTTGCTGCCTTCATCCCCGCACCCCGTCACCTACATTAGGTATTTCTCCTAATGTTATCCCTCCCCAACCTCTCCACCCCCTGCTATCCCTCCCCTAGCCCCCTACCCCCAACAGACCCAGTATGTGAAGTTCCCCTCCCTGTGTCCATGTGTTTTCATTGTTCAACACCCACTTATGATTGAGAACATGTGGTGTTTGGTTTTCTGTTCTTGTGTCAGTTTGCTGAGAATGATGGTTTCCAGCTTCATCCATGTCCCTGCAAAGGACATATATTCATCTTTTTTGTGGCTGCATAGTATTCCATGGTGTATATGTGCCACATTTTCTTTCTTTACCCCACTTCAGACCCCTTGGCTCTGCCAGGTGAGGGCCACCCCAACTCTGTCTCTCAGACACCTGGGCTCTAGGTATGCCCTCTCATTTTTCTCTTTGTTTTCATGTGAATCAAAATCTCAGAGACTCTTCTGCTGATTCTTGGAGAATGGTGAGGTTTTTTTTTTGTTCATTTTCACTTTTTTGAATCAGTTGAGTTGCCTTTGGAGTCATTTGGTGGGTACAATCCATCCTCCATTTAACATTGCTTTGTTTTGGTTTTTTAAAATATTCTTTAAAAACAATCATTAAAACCTGATGTTGGTAATGTTTGCAACAAATATAGAGTTGGCCTAAAGCTTCACAGTTGATCACAGAAGTCACCAAGAGGTCTTTGAGGAGACTGCCCCTGAGATTGCTAGCCACAGTGGCTCTCAAAGTGTGGTCCCCAGACCAGCAGCATCAGCATCACCTGGGAGCCTGTTAAAATGCATATTCATAGATTCCAGCCCAGAGATACTGAGGCAGAAACTGAGTTTGGGGTCCAAACTCATTTTTCACAAGCCCTGTAGGTGATTTTCATTCACACTAAATTTTGAGGATCCCTGGCTAAAAAGAACTTCCATCTTCCCCTAACAATGAAACAAAATGAAACAAAACCTACAGACTCTGCCTGGGAATTCAAGACTACAGTAGATCCCGATGGCCAGTTCAACAGAGTATACAAGTTCAGCAAACACATATAGCCTTTGGGAATGAAGAATTCCCAAGTCTGGATTCTGGGAAAGCATCTCCAGTAAATGCAGACATATGTTTACCAAAATACATTTATTAATACAAGGAGGTTCATTAAAAAAAAAAAAAAGTGCTTCAGAAAGCACTTAAATCCTGAAGAGGTTTTGAGAATCTTTAGGGCAGACTTTGTGCAGGTGTTTCTGGCCAGATGGGAAGCAAGAAAGCTCACGCTGGGCTTTTGGACCTCAGGAGCGTGGTCTGAAGCTCAGATTCTGAAAGAAGAAGCTGGACCTGTAAGACCCACATCAGCTGTGTGTGTGTGTGTGTGTGTGTGTGTGTGTGTGTGTGTGTGTGTGTCTGTGTGTGTGTGTCTGTGTGTGTGTGTCTGTGTGTGTGTCAAGGGGAGGGTTGAGTCTCTGTATCATGGCACAGAAAGAAGCATTTCAACAACACAGATAATTGACCGTCCTTCTCTTCTCTTCTAGACGTTGTAATCAGCTGAGACTCTACTCATCCCATCTCAAGCTCTCAGCACCTGAAATTTCCCTCTCCAGCCCTATTTGTAATAGCCAAAAGCCATCAACTACGCCCATTAACAGCAGAATAATTTTTTTAATTGGTCCATTTACCCAAATAAAATAATATGGTGACAAAATACAGCAGATAAATACAGTATAGAAAATACAGTTTAATATCCAGTAATGAAAATGAATGAACTTGATGTGCAAACAATAGAGAGTATCTCAATGTGGAGTAAAAAAAAAAAAAAAAAAAAAAAAAAAAAAAAAAACTGGGCACAAGAGTACATATTGAACTGGTGCCCACCCAAATGCACCAACCAGGGACCAGCCTGCTACTTCTGCTGCTGGCACTGCAAGTGCTGTCCAGGGACCTGAGGAATGGCCTGCCTGACCTGCTGCTGCCACTGCTAGCGCCCA